GATGGAAACCAGTTACAACAAACACGACCAACCTGAAGGAGGGCTCAGACTTCAGCCTTTAAAAAGAATCCATGTCCTGTAGCTAACTTCCATCTTTAGTTATCTAGTTGTGACCAGACAGCTTTAAATACCGGTCTGAACTGGCTCAGTGAGACCTTCAGAGGTGGTCTGGACCTCTAGAATCTACAAACATATGAAGTCCGTCTCAGCCCTGATGTAGGACTTCCTGCTGAACTGAAGTGACCCCACACAGGCAGCAGAGCAGATGCCTCAATATTAAATTTATTTGCACTGATGATGATCATTACATTCTCAATGTTTCATTAAAATCTCACAAGATATTTTGCTAACAGGCGAAACAGGCCTGACTCCAACAGGTAATGCTAAAATATTTCCCAAAGAAGTTGCTCATGAGTAGCTCCTGAAAAATGTGCTGTCTTAGTTCTATAACCACAAGTTTTAAAGATTTCCAGTAAAACAGAGATGTAAAGCTTTTTGTATTTTCATTAGGCCAACTGGTGGCGGCCATCTTGAAATTAGACCACAAAAGATAAATCTGTTGTAGAGGTACACGAAATATATATATAAAAAAAAAACATTAAAATCTGTTGGGATATTTTGCTAACAGACCCTAAAAGGTTTTAGGCAAAAGTTTAAATAAAGATCTTGTACAGTTTGTTAGCTCTTATGTGTGTTGCAATTAGCGCTGGACAATATTTTGATACTGATGTGTGTATATCGCGATAGAAAACATTTCATTTAGGGGTGCACCAATAAATCAGCCGGCTGATCTGTCGGCACAGATTTCCTTAATTTTGGGAAATCGGAGATCGGATTGACTTGGGTAAGATCGGTGGAAAACATCAGCTTCTCATCTACCTCCACAACGTTCTGAAATCAGCCACCTTTTGCTCCGCTGTGACAAATTTGTATTGTTTCAAGGGTTTTTCAATAAAATATTGGAACATTGAAGGTGCATTGTGAACTTAACACATGACAGAGTCAGCTTAAAAAAAAGGGGTATCGGACAAAATCGTCAGGTCAGCCTTTTAAAGATCGATGATCGGACAGAAAACTGCCATTGGTGCCCCCCTAGTCTCAATTACGTTGACATGACTTTTAAAGAAATATGATGGATTTACATTATGTCAGTGTGTGATAGCGAACACCACAGGCTCAATGCCAGTGCTCAGCTCTACCACTGTTTACATTATGGTAACAACCAGTGTTGGCTGGTCCATTGGGGCGCTGCCCCACCTGACAAGAAGAAGAAGAAGAAAAGTATAAAATATACTTTTCTAGTTATAAATGTTGGTTTTACTCACTAGTGTATGTCTACATGTAATATGAATTATATCAACTATATTCTCCACCTATTGACATTAATTCACCAGTAAATTTCCACAAACTGGTTTCGTTTCTGTCATGGGGTGACAATCGTCCAAGGAGTGAAGTCTCTTAACCAATCTCATACAGTTGCTAGGCAGATTAAAAAATAAATTGGCCAATCAGTGTTGCGGAATTTTATGGTTCTGGGGCTCTGCAGACTTTGCCCTAGCAGAGGAGGTTAGAAAAAAAAAAGCTTGTCATAGCGCCGCAGGTCGGTAGGCGGAGTTTAGAGACCCATCGGAGAAATGGAGGAGCTAAAAACAACTCAGCTAAGTCTCTTAGGCTACGTTCACACTGCAGGCAAATCCGACCCAAATCCGATTTTTTTACCCATCTGACTCATATCCGATTTTTTTATGACAGTCTGAACGCGACAAATCCGATTTTTTCAAATCCGACCCAGGCCGTTTCAGTATGTGGTTTTAAATCGGATATATATCTGATGTTTTCAAAGTGACTGC